GCTCGGGGGCGCGCGCGTCCGCCGAGCCCGACCCGAGGGTGCGGTCCGGGGCTTGGGATCTCGCCGGCCTTGGTCGGCCCGGTTCAGGGGGACGGCAGCGGGGATGGTCACATGTTCACGGGCACACGTCTGTCTCAGGGGCACATGTGCACACATGTACAGCTCAGGCCACAAACTCTGGTGGGCACACACTCAGGGGCACAGGGACTCGGTCGCTCCCTGAGCACGTTCACGCACACAGGGACCCGCTGGGGACATCGTTCTCATGCACCCTCATGTCCCCAGCGTTTCTGGCATAACGTCCACCAGATGGGTGTGATTTTTCCCATTGCCCAAGTCCAAACACTTGCAGACCTCCCCCAAACCCCCAGTCGCCCCAATAACAGATCTGAAAGCCACATTGTTTTCCTTTGGCCTTTATTTCCATGAATCACAAAGTGTGATGCAAAAACAGCCGGCCACCTGTGTGTACGTGCTCTGAGCACTCTCCGTGACACAATCAGGCACGCTCACATTGACACAGTTGTTCACACAGGCACAGGGAGTAACAGGGCACACACCCTGACACCCACAGTTAAAATGATACATTCCCACAGTGTGCTCCACACACACTTCTGCCCTGACACGCTTACACACACAACATACTGCAGGACATTCATGCATATTCACACTGACAGTGAAACATGCATGGGTAACACGTGTCACCAACGCCCTCGCTCACTGTGACACCCTTGCGGTCTCTGCTGACACAGCCACCCACTGTGACGTGCATGACGCTCACAATGTGCTATGATGCACACGTGCCACATGAACAGTCACACAGCTGTGCACACACACCCACATTCAACATTCACCCAAAACACCTTCCTGTGGGACACACTGAAATACCCGCCCTCCATGAAACGCATACGCCCCCCCACACACACGCGTGCACACGTGCAACTCCACAACATTCATTCTCCATGACATAGGATTTTTTATAAATATCTTTATTGATTTCAGAGGGAGGAAGGGAGAGAGAGAGAGAGAGAGAGAAACATCAATGGTGAGAGTCATTGATCCGCTGCCTCCTGCACACCCCCTGCTGGGGACCGAGCCCAAAACCAGGGCATGTGCCCCGACCAGGAATCGAACCCCAATCTCCTGGATCACAGGTCGATGCTCAACTGCTGAGNCTGCTGGGGACCGAGCCCAAAACCAGGGTATGTGCCCCGACCAGGAATCGAACCCCAGTCTCCTGGATCACAGGTCGATGCTCAACTGCTGAGCCACGCCCGGCCGGGCGACATACGATTTTTTATGTGGGAGAAGATGAACAGGTTCCGACCAGGCTGGGGCCCCCATGTTTCACCTATACTGGGAGGTACCACCGTGTCCTCCAAGCTGCACCCAGGGCTTCCATATCTTCTCATTTATTTAGATGGGGGTGCTGAAGGAGGGAGATGGAGATCCAAAATCAGACAGATCCCCCCTGGGAGAGAAGCTAGGGCCAAATCCAGGGCTCCGCCTCCCCTGGCCCCAGCTCACCTTGACTTGGCATTTTATGCAGCATTTCAGAGATTTTCTGTAATTGACCCTTGATTTGGATTATGTCTGGGGTTGGGGAGAGACAGGAGAGCTCTGGGGTGGGGCCTTGGACAAGGCCCCCACCTTCATTGGGAGTCCTCTCCTTGCCCAAACCCCCAGGCTAGGGTGCTGCAGAGCCCTGCACTTGGGGTTCCCAGCAGCATTTAAATACCCCCCAAGTTACTGAAAGGTGACATCCATCACCCCTCCAAACCCTGCCCTCTGGGAGGGTAGGACCTCTGCTGTCCCCTCCCCAGATTCCCCAGCACCACAGTCCATGCAGTGAAGGGCCACAGGAGCACCTGCTGGCAGCATCTTCAGTTTCTCATTCCCATTGTAGACATCGCTCTTGACCTTGCCGATGTACGTTCTGACCTCACTGATGCTCTGCTGGATATTGCTCCAGCCCTCCTTCTGCCCTTCCCGGCACTCAAGTGCTGAGTGAGAGACTGAGGGTATGGGCGGGGATGTCTGTGTCACTGCGGCTGTCTCTACCCACCCTCTAACCCCTTGGGCCTCCCCCAGGGCCTCCCCTCACCATTCGAGATCTCCATTTTCAAGAAGAGCATCTCCCGGGACATCTCAGAATCTGTTCAGGATGGGGGAGGGTAGAAAACCCCTTGAAGTGCCCCAGTTCTGCAGCCCTGGGAGCAGGGGTGGGGGGAGGGAGAGGGACTGGGGGGAAAGGGGACAGTGGGAACACTGGGCCTCCCCAACTCTTCAAACCCCTCCATGCTGCCCCGGTCCCCTTCCCCACCACCAAAACCAAAAGCCCACTCACTCTTTACCAGGATCCAGGCCAACAGGACGATGGAAAGCAGAGCAAGAAGAATGTACAGGGTCACAATGGCTCTGTACAACCCTGGGGGGCCCTGGGCAGAGTCCGAGGATGGCCTGGACCGGGCTGACAGTGGGGCAGAGGCACGGCGGGTGACCTCCAGGGTTCAGGACCACCACTTGGACTATTAGTACCGATTCCAACACGATCACCTCACTCCCTCTTCCCAATGCCATTGGCAGCTGCGCCCACCAGCAACACTGCCGCCAGCATGCACCGTGGCCTGCACCACCAGCACTTGTTTCTAACGCTCTCGCCGCCATGCCCCCCTGTCATCACCCTGGGCACTAATCAGCAATGTCAGCAGAAGCTGTTACCAGCAGCCACCAACATCAGTGCTCACTGTGGCCGACACTGTCCCCACCAGCCGCACCCTCACCAGCTGTCTCAGTGGATCCTCCCTGTCACCTGTTCCCCATCACCCAGACCTTCACCAACACTTCCACCTACACAGTCACCACCCTGCCGCCCGCAAAGCTGCCCCCACCCGTCTCGCGTAAGCCTTGGCGCCACCACGCCCTGCACCACCGACCCCGACCCCCAGGTGCTGCCCGCTGTTCCCGCGACGCCCTCCCAGAGCTGCAGGTGTGGGCTGGCGGGGCTGCTTACCCTCACTCTTGGGTGGTGAATGTCTGCCCCGGGCCTTGTCCTGCTTTCTGAAGGTCAAGGTGATATTCTCATAGTCGGGATCATCTGCACCTGCGGGTGGGTCGGTGGGAAGGGTTTGGAACCCT